TTTTTCATGGCTAAAAATACACGTTTGAAAGAGATACAAACAGATCTTTCCAAACTTCGAGATGCTTTCGTGTCATTGAATTCTTGGGGCACTACTCGCATCTCTCAGTTACAACAAAAACTCAACTCATTCACCTAGTTGCATGATCCTAGCCTTACAGATCGTTTGGAGTCTTCCATTAAAGCTATTAGAATATTAATGAATGTTATTTCTTGTTAGTTAAAGCAGACCATTCGTATGAATGCTACAATGTGTTATGGGTACTAACCTTCCTCTTTGATCCATGAAATTGTTCAAAGTCACACAAATCACTCTCTCTATATTCTTGTTACTAATTTTTGGCGCAGAGGTTATCTTAGAAGTCTCTTGATTGGCCACTCTTGGACCACATGTGGCATATGATAACACTCTGACTATTAAATTTTATGATAGTTCTAATTTTGTGACTCTTAGTGGCGAGTCTTGTCTATCAACTTTAGTCACTCAAGCTCAATATAATCATTTATTTTGTCTTCAACACATTAATGCAATTTTTGAGGTCTATAACTTTCACCAACAACATGTACTAGTCAATGAGGATCTTTTTCTCAATCTTGATCCAACACCTCATCTAGCGTCCTGACTATTTTCCAACGCTTCTCTATAGTGTTTTCTAAACCTCTGGAATAACCACCATGCACAACCATGGTCACTTGATTCCTTTACTTCTTGACACAACTCTAATTAAGACGTATTCTTATCGTTATCCTTTTAGTTATGAGACTGAAATTGTGAAGATTGTGCAAAAGCTTCTTCAAGAGGTACTGATTCAACATAGCACTAGTCCTTTTTCTTCTTTAGTTATTTTGGTTAAGAAAAAAGATGACTTGTGGCGTTTTTGTACGAATTATAGGGCACCTAATGTCATCACTATGAAGGATTGTTTTTCCATGCCAACAATGGATGAATTATTGGATGAGTAACATGGTACTCATTATTTCTCTAAATTAGACTTACGCTCTGAATACCTTAGTTGTTGGTCAAACTAGAGGATAGACATAAAATTGCCTTTTGGATGCACTATGGCCATTACGAGTGGTTGGTTATGTCCTTTAAGCTTACTAATGCACTTGCATCTTTTCAAGCTCTTATGAATCACATTTCAACCTTTTTATTGTGCTAATTTCTGTTGGTCTTCTTTGACAGTATTTTAAACTATAGTGCTTCTTGGGTTAATCATATATTACATTTGATGCAAATATTGGAGCTATTACAACATCACTTAGATGTTAAATTGGCCAAATGTGCTTTTAGAACAATGCAGATTGTATATTTGGGCCATATGGTGTTTGCCATGGGTGTTTTTATGGATCCCGACAAGGTTTCTATTGTTGTTGGCCTCACCCTCTCAACCTTAAAGAGCTTCGTGAATTTTTGGATTTAACTAACTATCACTGTCGTTTTCTCCACGATTATGCTTCTTTGACTTCTCCCCTCTATAATCTTCTTAAGAAAGATGCTTTTGTTTGGAACTCCTCCATATAACTAGTTTTCTAGCGCCTCAAACAAGCTATAACATAGGCCCCTATGCTAGCTTTACCTTATTACATAACACTTTTTGAATTAGAAATTGAGGCCTCTAGTGTTAGGGTAGGTGCGATTCTTAGTCAATAGGGCCACCTAATTGCATTGTTAAAAAAAAAAAAAAACTATCTTCTCGATTTTAAGCTAAGTCTGCTTATGTGAGCATGATGTATATAGTTACGAAAGTAATTGATAAATATGTCATTACATGTTGGGACATCAATTTATTATATATACGTAGTGCAAGAGTCTTTGTTCGTTGGTTGATCAAAAGTTCTCCAAACTCCTAAACAACAACAATGGATGAATAAGTTGATGGGTTACAATTTTATGATTGATACAAATTGAGCCATCAAAATGTGAGTGGAGATGCTTTGTCTAAAGTGAGTTGTTTTGCTCCCTCCACAGTTAATTGTGATTTCCTCCCTACCTCGTGTCAAGAACTACTAGTTGATCCTGTATATGGTGTTATTTTAGCTGATTGTCACCTTGGCCAGCCTCTACCTCATTACCGCTTCCATAATGATTTGTTGTATTGGAAGGATCATTTGGTTCTTCTCTCTCAATCTCCCATAACTTTGCATTTAGTCAAGGAATTTCATGATACTTTGATTAAGGGCATGCTAGTTTTTTATGCACTTACCAATCATTTTTGTCATAATTTTTTTAGTATGGTCTTAAGCAATAAGTTAAGTAGTATGTGCAACAATGTCAAATCTATCAACAGGCGAAGTCTTGCCAGTCCTTACATGCGAGACTTTTCACTTCGTTACTATTTTGAACGTTATTTGGGAGGATATAGCTATTCATTTTATCACTGACCTTCCTCTGATCCAAGGTTACACTGTCATCATGGTGTCATTGATCAGTTGTCTAAGTATGCTCACCTTATTCCCCTTAAAACCGCCTTTATTGTTACTACTGTGGTTGATTAGTTCATTCACCATGTGGTGAAAATTCATGATATGCTAAATCTATAGTTTACAACCGGAATAAGACATTCACTAATTAGTTTTAGCAATTTTTAGTTAAGTCATAGGACACTACTTTAGCTATGAGCACTGCCTATCATCCACAACTGACATGTACCTCTATTGTTTCGTGTATGATTATCCTTATAATTGGTTTAGGTTTTTGTTGTGCGCCGATTTTTGGTACAATTTTACATATCAAACTTCCATAATTATAACCCCATTTTAAGTTATGTATAAGCATCCTCCTCCTAGTTTGATTTGGGATTACCTATAGAGGTGGTTCAATTGTTGGAGGAGAGGGATGAGGTGTTACACATCCTCAAAATTAATTTATCATGCGCACAGAACTACATGAAATATCTTGCTAATTGTAAGTGGGTGAATATGGAGTTCCATTTTGGAGATATGGTATTTTTATAAGTTGCAACTATATAGGCAGTCCACTCTTCGATCCCATGACTATTAGAAACTTTGTCTTTGCTATTTTGGTCCCTTTTTGGTGATTGAACGCATAGGGCCAATTGCATATAGGTTGTTATTACCACCAACTACTTATATTCATTTTGTTTTTCACATTTTGCTGCTTAAGAAGTGCATTGGCCATTCCATTTAGCAATATTTTCCCCTTTAAGTAGACACATTTGAAGTAGGTCCTTAACATTGTCCCTTGACAGTCTTAGACTCGAAAAGAATTTGTTAACAAGGATACTAACTTGATTAGGTCCTTATTCAATGGACTCATTTACTTGTTTTTGTGAGTACATAGGAGTCCATTTCTTTTATGCAACAACAATTTTCATTTTTTGACCTTACGGACAAGGTCCATTTTAATGGAGGAAGCATTCATATGAGTATATGAGGCATAAAATAAATACGAAGAAGGGAGGGAACATGTAGAAAACAATCTTATTAATGTGGTAATCGAATTGAAAAATTTGAGGTGCAATATACGTGAGAAACATAAAATATGGAAGTTGAAGATTAATATAAAGAAAAAATGAAAGCATATAATGATGAAAAAAGGAAAGAGATGGAAAATTATACTTTTTAAATATTTCTTGTGTCTTTTTCTTCTTTTATCTATTCTTTTATATTAATATAAGTTCTTTGTTAAGGTAAAACAATCTAAGTCTAGTGAATGTTGGTGTTTTTTAAAGAAGTAATAAAAATAAAAAGACAAAAGAAAATGTTGATAAAAATTAATTAAAGTAGAAAATAAAAAATATAAAAAAATAAGAAATAAATGAAAAATAACAAATAAACAGTTTTAAAATTATATATATATATATATATATATATATATATTTAAAGATGCATAATAAAAATATATATAATAATAATAATAATAAATGTTATTATAAATTTCAAGATATTATAAAATTTAACACATGAATAATATTAATATTATATTTTAATGAAAACAATTATTTATGAATTTTTTTATTAGGTATCATTAAATGCGTTAAAAAAAACCGATCAGTGAATTAAAAAAGAGTTGCGGGGAAATATAATTTGTGATATTTATTGTGTCTTTCATTTAATTGGTTATATATCTTAAGCGTTGACTTGACCTTGCCTCGACGTTGGGACAAAATGCATTCAAACGAAACATTAGCCTAAAATAAAAACTAAAAAAAATTACAAAATTATTCCTAATTTTTAACATTATAAATATATTATTTTAACTCCGTTTATATCTCAAATTTGGGTAAAGAGGAGAGTTTTTTTGACCCTCATCTAATTCTATAAATTTTCATGATATTAAATCATTAATAATTAATTTTAAACATTCTATTATCATTTTTAAAATTTAGATGATAAATCATATTTTAAACTCATCATAATAATGGCTTTAAATTTTATTTTTAAAATTAATAACAAAAATTAATTAAAATTATTTTAGAATTTAAAATTTCATTGTTAATAATGAGCGTTTAAAGTTAATTACCAAAAACGTTATAAAATTTTAGGAAACAAAATTTGATTCTTAAAGACTTTTTATCAAAATGAATTAAAATGTAACACGATTAATTTGTTAAAAAAATAGTGTGATAATAGGAAAAAATAATAGTGTGATATATTTTTAAAAATAAAAAAATTATTAAATTTTAATATTTATTAATAAAAATTCATAATTCAGTTCTAAAAAAAATCTGAATCGTTAATAAAGCTCACAAAATATTATTGAATAATATATAATACATAAAAGATCATGTAAAATAATTTGTTAATATTTCTAAACAGTAAAGATGCTGGGGAAAGGAATAGTAAAAGTGTATGAAGGGCCCACAGGCTAAAGGGGTATAACAAGGAAAGCACTGCATTTATGAATCCAGAAATACCCTTGCCGACGGTGGAGGACTCAGCACTTCACGCCTAGGAGTCTAGGACTCAATTGGAATTCAGTACGCGCGATACCACACGGTACGGTGTTACCCACCATTCGTACGATGACGTGTCAGCATTTTTTAGCGGAGATACCTGAGAAAGGCACGAACTGGAGAGCCACAACCTGAGAGACATGCGTTGCTCCCTTAAAATATGTTACTTTGAAAGTGAAGAAAAGTAAGAGCACAAAAGCACACTGTGTTGACCCCATGGACCCTTGACGATGTGGTAATTCTTTGCACATTGTTTGGCCAAAGACGAAACTTTGGTTCCAAAGCAAAAATCGTTTTTCATGAGGTGCCAGTTTCTTCCTCCTTAATCTTTCCCCGTTCAATCTCTTTCCACAATTTAGATCTAGGAGCATAACCCATTTGGGTTCGGGGAACAAGGAGCTCCGATTGAGTCAAAGGTGAAGCCTTTTTCTTCTCTCTTTCCTCAAGCAGAGGTGAAAAATATATACAAATACACCCACCATCGTAGTTCTTTACAATTTCTTTTGTAAGTTGATTTTCTTGGTAAATTATATAGATATCGAATATTTAAGGGGGAGGGTGAAAGAAGAAGAACAATGGGGTTGGTTGGAGTCCAAGAAAATGGGAATGGGAATGGAGATGGGATATCTGAGATTTCGTTGGGGACCAAAACCAAATACGTGAGGATGACTTCTGATCCTGTTGAGACCGAAGAAGGGTTGTCAACAAGCAAGCATGACACCAAGAAATATGTCTTCGCATGTGCTGTTTTTGCCTCTCTCAATTCCGTGCTTCTCGGCTATGGTAGGTAATTCTATTTCTTTATCTACATTTTATGTAATTGCAATGCTTTATTTTATTTTTCTTTTTGCTTTTCATTTGATCTGCTAATAAAATGTCAAATACACGTGCTAATAATAATAAAAAAAACGAATAAATGAGATCTATTGTTTTTTATGGGATTTGACTCGATACTTTATTTTTAGGACTACAAACAATCACAGGGATGAATGTAAAATCCAGGGCTGTTTGTGTAATTTGCAACACCGGTTTTGTGTTTAAGGTTGAAAGTGAAAACTTTTCCTGAGCTGCTCATATATTGAGATTGGCCTCGGAAGGACGCTGTAGAGGAAAAACATGTAGAGTATAGACATAATGTGGATAGGATCCCCATTTGTAAAGCTATTATTGTATCCATTATGAACTTGTAGATATGATTAGATGGTAAGTTTAATATCAGACATGTGCTTTGCTTGAATAATATAGGCGATGTTACTGTTTGACATTCCCTGGCAATTGAACATAGAAAACTTAAATCCTATAACTTTTATACCAGAACCAATAGCTCTACGACTTGTTTGCTATCATTTTTGTATATATTGACTATATAAACATATACAGCGTGTATCTATTTATGCTATTAATGAGGACCAAAACGATGGGCTAGCTGATTATCTGTGCTTACCATTTTGCAGATGTGGGTGTTATGAGTGGAGCAATTATATTCATTCAGGAGGATCTGAAGATAACTGAGGTTCAGCAAGAAGTACTCGTTGGAATTTTGAGCATAATATCCCTGTTGGGTAGTTTAGCTGGTGGAAAAACATCAGATGCGATTGGCCGAAAATGGACAATTGGTTTGGCAGCAGTTATCTTCCAAGCAGGTGGAGCTGTTATGGCTCTTGCCCCATCCTTTAAAGTATTGATGATTGGAAGACTCCTGGCTGGGGTGGGTATAGGCTTTGGTGTCATGATTGCGCCTGTATATATTGCTGAAATTTCTCCTGCCATTGCTAGGGGATCTCTTACCTCTTTCCCTGAGATATTTATAAATTTTGGAATCCTTCTTGGATACATATCGAACTATGCATTTTCAAGGCTTCCGGCACATATAAGTTGGAGGGTAATGCTTGGTGTTGGACTGCTTCCTTCAGTTGTTATTGCTGTTGCACTGTTTGTCATACCCGAATCCCCAAGATGGCTTGTGGTGCAGAATAGGATTGATGAAGCGAGACTAGTGCTGTTAAAGATAAATGAGAGTGAGGAGGCTGAAGAAAAGTTGCAAGAAATTCAACATGCTGCTGGGTTAGCTAATGCTGAGAAGTATGAATCAAAAGCTGTCTGGCAGGAAATACTGTGCCCTACTCCTCCTGTTAGAAGAATGCTTATAACTGGTTGTGGAATTCAGTGCTTCCAACAGATTACGGGCATAGATACAACCGTTTATTATAGCCCCACAATTTTCAAAAATGCTGGGATCACTGGCAACTCCGAGCTTCTTGCAGCAACAGTTGCTGTTGGGTTCACCAAAACATTGTTCATCTTGATAGCTATATGTCTTATTGACAAATTGGGGAGAAAGCCATTGCTTTACGCGAGCACAATTGGGATGACAGTAAGTCTATTTAGCCTGAGCTTGTCTCTAGCTTTTCTGAGCCATGCAAAAGTTGGGATCGTATTAGCAATTCTTTCAGTTTGTGGAAATGTAGCTTTCTTCTCAGTGGGACTTGGCCCCATATGCTGGGTCTTGACGTCCGAGATATTTCCTTTAAGGCTTAGAGCTCAAGCATCAGCTCTTGGAGCTGTGGGAAGTAGGGTCAGCAGTGGTGCCATCTCCATGTCCTTCCTCTCAGTCACTCGTGCGATCACCGTGGCAGGAACCTTCTTTGTCTTTGGTGTTATTTCGTGTTGTGCAGTTGCCTTTGTTCATTATTGTGTTCCAGAGACAAAGGGAAAGACTTTGGAGGAAATTGAAGTACTATTCAAAAACGAGGATGAATTGCAACAGAGTGAGGTAGAAATGGGAGATGTTGAGCGTCTGATGCAGAAGTCATGAGTTAGTGGCATGCCAAATCCTTAAACTAAAATTCCTAGATATTTCAAACACAGTGGTATTATACTCTTTTAGTTCTTTTGTAATGGCGGGCATTTCTGCTTTTACATCATAAAGGGTTTGTTTGCATGCCGAGGGACACTAAGAAAACAATAAGAAACTTCATGAAGTGTTGTCCCTCAAGCCACAAGCACCAGTATAAGCTTTAGTATATCTTAATGTTTATATGTATTATTTTTTACAGTCTGTGTAAGATGTGATGAGTTCATATTCATATAGCATTGATTCATCGAGCCATAATCAAAATTGTGTTGTCTTGACATCACATGCCTTGTATGTGCCTGTTTACCCTCTTCTATTGTGGGAGAAGAATGTAGGTTATTGTTTATGGCGGTGTCCCATTCCATTTATTTTATTTGATGCGATTCTTCCCTTCTCAGCAGTCTCCAAAAAAAGTGTTAGAAAATTTAACACGTTTCTTTGCATATATCTAACATACTCTTCCCATACAAAAATACTTCTGAAATGTGGACGAAATGCAAATCGTTTTGTTTAGGACTAGAATAATTCTACTTTGGGGTTTGGCCCGTTAAAAATATTTTATAGTTTTGACTCAAGCTGCATTTATTCTCAGTTTACCTGTTGTTCGATTGTAGACTGGTAGAGAGCAGAAATTTACATTAGTTTAAATTTTGAATAGTCTGTGCCCAAAGTATATATCACAAATAAGACCTAATAACACCATGGTCAATGCACAAATAATATTATGGCATTATAGATTTTTTTTTTTTTTAAGTCTTGCATAATTTTTTTTCTTTTTTGTTGTTAAGTAATGTTTAAGAAGTGAGAAATTGCACCATATTTTCCGTCAAGAATATGCTACTAACTTGAGAGTGTGTTTAGATGATATCTTTAAAGTGAATAGTTCAATTTTTGTATGGGTTTAAAATTATATTTTGTTTGGATATTAAATTTTATTAATAAACTAGAATTAAAGCATTATAAATTCTATACAAACAAGTGAACTTTTAAAGTAGTCTATAAAATTATGAACATCAAATAAATTGATGACTATTGAAATTTTAAAATAAAATTATTAATTATTAACTTTGTAAAATATTAGACATTTTAATTTAATTAACACTTTTTTATTATAACAAAGTTGACATTTGTTGAGGTATAATAGCTTTTAGATAACTTATGTGTCCAAAACAAATTATTTCACACATTGATTACAGACTTTGAGACTAATTTAAAAGATTTATTTGATTTTCTTTCACCTTTTAAGGGGAGCAAAGGAGGAGATGGTGGATTACTTCGTTTTATCATCAGATCTAAGGGTCTATTCATTTCATCAAAGAAGAACATCCACTAAGCCATAAACTTATAGCTATACAAATGGTCTTGGCTTGAGGACAGTCATGAGATGATGCATGACAACTGCTGGTTCTAAGTTCTGAATGGATAGGGCTACTTGCCCAAATCGTTCCATGAAGACTCGAAGAATTTCCTTTTTTTCTTGTTTGATGTCAACTAGTGCTAATGATATTAGTTGATGAGGTCGAGTAGTAGCAAATTGTAGATTAAAAGCATGTGATGAGTGTGGCAAAAGAGTCTATGGACACAAGGGGTAGCTTAGTGAACCAATTGAGGGCTAGTTCCCGTAGCGATGTTAAAAATATTTGATATAACAAGTTATCGTCATCAGTATATAGCCCCACCTGTGTGGTGAATACATCCACATGTTCCTTGGGATCAGTGGTTCCATCATACTTTTTCAAAGTTATACCTTTCCAGTTATTCAGTAACTTGGCTTCCATGATAGGCTGGATAAAAGGTATTGTAATCTAAGGTGCTCTCAACCAAGGAAAACCGAAAAGGATGTGGATCTACAAGAGGATGCAACCGGTTGATGAATCTTGATCTTCAATCCTCCAAAAATGCAAGAAAAACAAGAGATATGATGGTGGATAGGTGCAAATTTTTTGAGACAAATTAAAGTAAAAGAACAAATGGAATAAGGAAGGAATGGAAGAGGTAGATGACATCACCTAATAGGAATTAAGATAAGCCTAATTGCTCTCAACACATGGAGGAAACTCCATGATAAGAGATCTAAACCTAGATATTCTAGAGAGAATGACCTAGAGAGAAATTCACTCACTCTTGGTGAAAAACTACACAAATGATTCATTAGCTCCAAATTACAAGTATTAGATCCTTTATATAGACTTCCAATTTCGTGCAATTTGAAAATAGTTATCCTTGGGTTCCAAAATTATGCTTTATTTTGGTGGACAAACCAAACTCGTGATAGAAAAGATATAGGGTACCACCCATAGAAAATTGGAAAGACTTTAAGGCTATTCTTACGAAGAGACATGTGCCCTCATATTATGGCCGTGAGCTTCTTAGCAAGCTCCAAAGGCTTACCCAAGGCTCCAAGAGTGTTGAAGAATATAGGAAAGAAATAAAATTTTACTTTATGAGAGCCAACATCCATAAGGAGGAAAGAGCTACCATAGCAAGATTTCTAGAAATTAAGTGTTTTAAGTGTCTAGGTAGGTGACATATTGCTTCTCAATATCCAACTAAAAAGGTTATGATTTGTAAGGGCAATGACCAATATTTTAGTCAAGAAGAATAAACGTCTTCATCATCTTCTAGTGATAGTGAGAGGCAATCTAGTGGAGAAAAAGTTTGTGGAAGTGAGGAGGATCTTTTAATTATTAGGAGGCTCTTGAGAAGCTAAGTAAAAGATTTAGATGAGTTTCAAAGAGAAAATATTTTCCATACTAGATGCTATATCAAAGTAAAATTGTGTGCACTAACTGTGGATGAGAGTAGTTATACTAATTGTGCAAACATGAGATTAGTTAAAAAATTAGGTCTTGAAACCACCCTACACCCTAAGTCATACAAGCTTCAACGGCTAAATGAAGAGGGTGAAATGATAGTCCATAAACATTTTTAACTTCAGCGGTGTCAATCTTGCCAAGTGCCACCATATAACCTATATTTTGCTTTAGACGCAAGTGTTTGCTCAATAAAGTCACATGCACAAGCCATCGATAGAAGCTCAACAATGACTAGAACGCAGGAATTTACTGGTTGTCCAAATTCCTTGTGACAGTCATTAGATGGATCGAAATAACAGTCCCAAACATATACCAAACCACCATCCACCTCCTTTTCACACTTTTGCACATTACTAATCTTGCAAGTGCCAAAGGCTCCCAAATATTTGCATGAGTTAACTTAAACGCACATCTCTTGCTTTGAGATAGCTTATATGGCTTGTTTTTCTACTTTGACAAAAGATCCGTTCGTTTAGAAAAATTATTTTCTATGCATTGATAATTCTAATTTGCCATAAGTCCTGAGTCTTTTTTATTTTAGAATGGGGCAAAAGTTAGCTTATATTACTAATCTAGTTTTGTGTATTTATTTAGCTTTTGTTGTTGTTTAGAATTCAGTCCTTGGTTGCATATAAGTATTTAATCACAATGAATACAAAAAATCAGCACAATAGTTTCTCAAGATAGTGAATTGAGAAGAAATGAACACAAGTGTAGTTGATACTTCAGTTATTTCAAGAAAATGTAAAGAAATGAAGAGGAATTTGATGAAAAAAGTGAAAGACATTGTTGCTAGTTTGATTACATGCTTATGGGTGTAGTATAGCATGATATCAAAGTCACATGATTTATCTGTGCCTATAAACATTTTTAACAGCCTTGTCTTTCTAATTATACGTTCCTGTACGTGTGTTTGCTATTTATTTGGTCTGCTTATGTGTTATTAACCGTTTGTATGTTGCTTTTTATGGATTTTTGTGGTTCTCGTAGACTGTGTTTTCTGTTTGTAATTGTGTTGAAGTTAGCATATTTGTGCTACTCGTGCTTTAATTTGGCAAGTAAACACCTAAATCACTATGCCTTGGTTGTCTGTTTTAACATTGGATCTTTTTTTTTTTCAGTTTCAACATTATTTCCCCCTCTGTAATTGAAAATGATTTCACTGTATAGTGTTTTTATAGGAAACAACACTGTCGTTGAATAGACGGCGTGCTGCTTATTAACTCAGTAATATCATTGTGCTGAATATTAAATCTATACTATATAAACATAGATATCATATTAATAGTTTGGAGATACTCTAGTCAGATGAGCTTGTTACTTTTCTTTTCAAGTATTAGATATTGTAGGCATGTTTTTCTATTGTTTTGAATTGATAATGACATTTGTATTGACGATAACAAGGATAAATACTTCTGCCATGTTTTTTCAACAATCACACCTTGGTAAGAATACGTGTTTGAAATTTAATAGCGGATGATATACATCTATGATTAAAATAGTTTTATTATTGTAAAAAAAAGATATTATACATTTGACCAATTAAATTAATTTTTAATATATTAATAAATTATTGATTAAGAGCATGACAATGTAGATCATTCTGTGAATTGCCCTTGTCTAAACTTCAACCATTATACTGTAGTAATAATTTGTAATTACGTTAGTTGGAACCTAGACTTGAATTTGTTTTTTATTCCCCTCTCATGCTTGGTTTGAACTAAGTTGAGATACTCTCAAAGTGACAAAGTATTACCAAGATGTGTACGACACACCAAAGTATATATCTGAAAAATATTTTATTTTTGTAAAAGAAAGTTTTGTCCCATATATTTGAGATACAACTTAAATATTTTGAATACGAATATAATTTTCCCTCTCCATGATTTTATTATTATAAAAAAAATGATATTATACAATATACAATCAAATTAATTTTTCTGCATTTAATATATTTATTTTTTTATAAATTTATGTAAAATTATTGATTTATTTGATTAATTTAATATTTTAAGTTTTATATTTTCAAATAATTTTTTAAAATATAGTGGTAATTTTATTTTTTAAGAATAAAATGATTTAATTATTTTATCCAAACAAAAAATTTTGAAAATAGAAAATTCTAAATGATAAAATTTTAATTACTTTATCCAAACAAAAGTATTTAAATTGAAAGGGATTGGTAATGATTATGAAGAAAATTTTATTATTCTATCCAAACAAAAATATTTGAAATGAAAGAAATTTAATTATTCTATTCAAACAAAATATTTTAAAATAATAATAAATTAAATAATATAATTTTAATTTTTTTAAAAAAATCAATTTCCTTATCCAAATGCAATTTAAGAGTTTATAATGCTCCTTTTTTATAATAAATAAAAATTATGCTATTTATAATTTGTACGTATCATGGATCATTTAAAAATGGGGAACGAGGACAATAGGATAGAAGGTGAAAGAAAGTTGAGACTCCACGTTGATCGCGAAAGCACTTCGGAAAATTTGAGCGAAAGGCAAGGCAACATCCCCTTAACATCAATAGCCATGTCCCATTTATGGGTTTGAAATTTGAACAAATTCTGGGCTTTAAACAACTGAGAAAGACATCTCAACAGTGACTATAAAAGGGATTTCTTTAAACTTTACTTCTTATTATGCTTTTATTCTGTGGAATTTTTGCCCATAATTTACATGATTATATGTAATAAACATCTTTAGTTGTAGACTCTAAAATGACAATACAATTAAACAGCGGACAGAGTAAATTATAACAATAAAAAGTTGACGAAGATAAATTACTACTACTACAATTTTGTTGAGGCCTAAGAATTTTGTTGAGATATGTATGCATTGGGGTTGTATATTCGGCAAGAAAATTGTGTTTAAACTAACAGTGGTTGGTTGAATCCTTGAGACCCGAAAGTAGGTGGATCACTTATCTGCATGTGCCACGCTTCTCTGTACACGAAACTCCTCCCTCCCACCTCCCTTGTCTCTCTGAACTAGGCTCACTCTAGACACAATTAATATCAACATGACTCATAATATATAATAAAGTTGTATGAATAGTACCATACAAAAAGGTCTCTATTTGATCACCTATTTTCCCTTAATTTTCAACTCAACCATATTCCATATTGATTTGATTTCTTTTTCGTGTTATAAGTTGCATCTCAAAAGCCTGGCGAGTAGATTTTCCCAGAAACAACTAGTTATGATTACATGACCTATTTATTACCTGAGTAGTATGTGTCAAACTTCTAATTTGTGAAAAAGATAATGTTAAAATGTGCTGCATAGTAATTTCCTAAAACGTGCGAGAAATTAACCCAATGGAAACAAGAGGATGGGACAGAAAGTGAATGTCACATGTAAGGAAATAAAGTAGGTGCCCTATTAAGATTGAGAGCTTAGAAATCACTTTCACAATTAAGTTGTCCCCAACGAGATGAATTTCTCGAATATCAATTTTTACTTTCCATTTGATTACTGCAAACCAAAGCCACGGGCAAACATGCCCCCCTCGTGACCTTTTACTGAGAAAGAAAATGACATATTTTTTTTGCATCATATTCCCCCAGCCTTCAAAAGGACACGACAAAAAGACTATAGAAGGTCCAAACTCCAAACTCATTATCTACTCCACTCCTCCAATTTAACTATCTTAGTATATCTTCTCTATAGTGGAATAATAAACAGTGACACAATTGGTTCCATAAACGCTTGCTTGCAACAAAAACATTGCTTATAACTGTTCTAATTTAACACTTATCATTCAAACTCACTAATTACAAACTCTAATCAATTCAAATTACAGAGCTAAGTGTTGCAGAAGATGCAACAACTAGAAATGATTCTATCAACAATGCTTCCCTTCACCACCTTTAACTTCCTACTCTGCCTGTTCCACAGGTGCACTGCAAAGCTTTCTTTGCGAATTTGCTCCATTTTCTTGACCAACCATTTTGCATGGAACTCATCTCTAGGCCCTCTGAAGAGACTCCTAATTCCTTTCCAATCCACAGGGTAAAATGCAGATGGAGGCAACACAGTGAAATTGAACCCGGATCTCCCACTCACCCTAGACACCACTCTAGAGATCAAGTAAGGACCATTGTGACCCCACTTGTTGCCGTCAAAAGTGAGTGCAAATTCCTCAATGAACTTGAAAAGCAAAGGATGCTTCTTATCAAATATCAACACAGCATTGTTCAAACGGCTCCATTTCCCAGTTTTAGCATCAAAATTCTGTGCTCCAATTGTGTTCCTCAAATTGGAGAAGCTCTTCAGGACCAAAACATCAGCATCAATGTACATGCCTCCAAACTTGTACAATAGAGCAAGCCTAAGCAAATTGGAGAGGTTTTGTCCCAAAGAGACTTCACCCGGATTCACAATCCCTTCCTTCAACCGATTAAACCAAGCTTCAGCATGAGTATCCTTGAACAAGTAATTAAAATCAGGTGCAATGGCCATGACCCTGAACCCATTATTCAGAAACGGTTTCAGAACCCGAGTTCCTGTGTCAGAATCAAGGGACTTGGACACTATGACCAAACAAGCTTCAGGGTGAACCTTGAACAAGCTCTCCACAGAGAACAACTCTCTCTCACCAAAAGCCTTCAAGGGGGAAATCCAAGTCATGAAGAACCTCACCTTGCAAGAAGAGTTCAAAGAGAAGAATGCTTTGAGTCTAGTTTGAAAGAGTGGAAGTGGGAACTGTGCTTCAGAACGCACGCTTCTACGACCACGCTTGTGTTTCCTCTCTCTTCTAGACCTACGAATGGAGAATCTGTGAGTGGAGTTTGGAAGAAGAGGCAAATGGGTCTTATTGAAGAGTGGAAAATTTTCTTCTTTAAGAGCGAGGAAGACAGAAGAAGAGAGGTTGAAGTGGGTTGGAGGAGGAAGAAGGAGAGATTTGTGAGATGATTTGGGAACACGAATGAAGAAGACAGTGAAGGCATTGTATGACAAGAGGAAGAGAAGGAGAAGAGCGAAGAATGAAGTGGTTAGAGAAAAGAGTAGAGTAAGCAGAGATCTTTTAAGGTGGAGAATGAGAAGGAATGGGAAGTGGAACAGAGAATGACAGGGTTTGGCGCTTGGCTCCATTGGGTGAAAGAAGAAGAAGAAGAAGTAGTTCAAAAAGTTTGAAGTTATCGAGGCAGAGAAAGTGGGAGAGCATTGGCATTGAATTGTAATGGCGAAGGCGGTTAAAAAATATAGCGGAAGAAGTGCAACTGTGCAAGTGCTGAGTGGAGAGAGAAACTGCATTAAATTTTGGAGTGAAGCGTGTTTGTGTTTAGTTTGATTTGGCCCATGGAGGCATGTAGCATACACTTCATGGCGAGATATCTTTGTCAGGGTTAATTGGGATTAGAAACGGGATTAGAAACAGGATTAGAATTAGAATGTAATAATTAGTTAATTAATAGAATGGTTCTTAACCTGTATATTATATTGTATGGTAAGAATTTATATATTGTTAATTATAAATGTAGTATATATGTAAATTTTCAACAGTAAATGTATGGTAGAAAATATGTAAAAGATAATACCTGTTAATCGAGATTAACAATTATCTCATTCACATAACTGAATGACTAATAACATAGTAGGTAAATTCTACGGGTTGTGCAAGAGGCTATTTTATATTCTCATAAAATAATTATCAACATTAATTTTATATTAACAGACAGTGTGATTAATAATTTATTTAAAAATATATAAATATTTTTTAATTTTTAAAATATTAAAAGAGTCACATTTTTATTATATTAAAAATATATAATGTTCTTTCAAATTTAGTTTAAGGAACATTTACTTACTAATATTATATATAAATTTAAACGACATTAACTAAATAACTAATAATATTTTTATATATTATCATTTATGATTAATTATATATTACATTGTTAAGAATAATATTATAAAAATTTTAAATTATTATTAAATATAAAAATATATAAAATATACTACAAATACACGACAACAAATTTTTAATGAATTTTTTTTATATTTTTAATTATTAAATAATTTTACCATAAGAATTGATAATTTAAATGGTTGACTTTATGATACTAAAATATTGTTTTAAAAATATAATTTTAGCAAATCAGATACAAAATTTATCATATTTCTATATTAGTAATTATATATATATATATATATATATATATAAAAGACATAAATATTATATTTAATGTGTTAAAAATATTAAATAGTATATTTTTATTAAATTTTTCTATAATTCTTAAAGTATTTCCTTAAGGACAATAGTTCACCAAAATAAAAGAAAATAAAATTACAATTTAAAATTATTTCAATATAGTTAGGGCCTATTTGTTTTTTCTTTTTAAATATAGTTTTTTATTTTTAAAAATTTAAAATATAGAAATTGTTTGTTAATTTAAATTTTAAAAAGTAATTTGTTATTTTTTATTTTTAAAATTAAAAATTAGAATAATTCAAAGTGTTTTTATTTTTTATTTTTTTCTAAAGCTTTGAAAACGTAAAGAATTCTCTTTTATTAATGGCAGGTTTATAAATTAATAAAAAAAGACAAATGCTAAAAATGATAGATTAAGGCACCTCACGACACTATCAATCACATCAAGAGAATGATAAAATAAACACAAATCATGACATAAGTTTGATAAGTATTCATATATTTTTTTCATCTTGCTTTTTTTTTTTTTATAATTATTGATTTTGAATTTAGATTTAGATTTTTACTCATAACAAGCACCAAGACATTTGAAAAAAAAAACTTATGTTTGATTTTTTTTTTCTTCCTGTATTTTTCTTTTTTTATAATTTATATTAAATTTTGTATTTGAAAATGACAAGATAAATATAGTAGATATTTGTATGATTAATGTAATGTATGATAGTAATATTCGTACTCACATAGTAAAAGCTCTCTCTATCTTAAACTAGCTTTCAATAGCTACTAAAATATCCAACAAAATATGATTGCATGCACATAATTTTTTATTTAAATTTTTTAAATTTAGTAGTGCTTTATTTAGTTAACATCACAACTTTAACTTATTGAACATTTGGGAGGAATCTCTTGAAGAAAATTTTGCTACAAAATAGATACGTGACTATTTAAAAAATATATACATGAATATTAATTTGACATATGGGTTGGGCTGGGGTGGGGTGGGGTGGGCAACTTCTCTTTTCTTATGATGTGGGTCAGGGCTTAGTTGGGCTGGGCTGGTGATGTTGATTACTCTAGTTCATGGGCTACCCGGTGTCTTAGTTTCAGTACTCCCGAAAGGAGAATTTGGTTGGATTCTCAGTTCTTTGTTCTGAGATCAAGCTCGCATAAGGTATTTTCTTTCTTTTCCGAAACGCTTAAACAATCACCGTTCAATTCTGAATCCTTCTATTCTACTGGTTCGAGTTTCGCGTTGATTTCTTAATATTCGCTTCAACTACCACTCTCTTTCCCCTTTTAATTCAATTTTATGTTCCCCTTCTTCGCTTCCAAATATTTGATTGTTTTGAACCTAATTATTCAATTTGAAATTAATCTCATACTGCATTTGATTGTTCAATGTTTTCATTTTCAGGTCCTGCGACAATATCTTCTCCTTTCAACTGTCTTTGCAGGAATGGCTGCAATCCTAGCTCGGAAATCGCTTCTTGCTCTTCGCACCCGCCAACTGGTAATTTTAATCTGATTACGAGTCCTGTTATTTGTGGAAAATTTTTGGAAATGAACGAAAGAAGAATAATATCTTAATTAGACGTTGTTTGAGTTGAGAACACCAAATGTACCCTGCCCTAATTTATATTCTTAGATTCCAATCTGTGAACTGGATTTTATTTTATCTGTTTTGTTGTGTAGCCTCTTTAAGTATGCTGACTTATGACTGGTTATGTGATGCTCTTAATAATTTAGTTAAGAGCTTGTTGTGAATTATACATGGGTCATTTTTATTGTAGGATGCCAAACGTTTAGCTTAATACTAACCCTTTTTGTTCTTCTTGTTTAGGCTGTAAGTGGGCAAGGGCTGCGTAGCTCCCAAAACTATGGCCTGCGACTAAGTGCACAGTCCTACTCTACCAAAAAAGGTCTGCCATTTCTCTTGCCATCTTTGTGTACTATTTTCTACATTCTTATACGATGGTTAGCAAGCAAAACCACTGAGAACTAATTATATGAATATTGATTGTTTTCTATATCTAATTATTTATTGCATGTACAATGACAATCATGATCCTGTTTTTGGTTTTTCATGGTTAACACTGTACAATAAACGAACTTTCTAAAAGGTGGCAATGAGCTGGGTCTGCATGCACTATTAAAAATAATCCCTTGAGGAAATTTAGTTGGTAGAGCTATGGAGTGAGCCATGATAGTGTGCAGGTTGAAACACAACAATGCATTCCCCCCTCCTCCCCCCTCACTGTGGTTCTGGCCCTCTGAATTTGTACCCCCAGTAGCATCATCATTGGTGACCGTCAATTGAAATATCTACTGGATCACCTTTTACTTTTCTCATGCTTGTGTTACATATTTATGCCCCTTCGTTCATATCATATTTTTGTGATGCACAAACTGCAGAGGATGAAGAAAGGGAGCAACTTGCAAAGGAAATTTCAAAAGATTGGAGTTCTGGTATTTATTTGTAAGCCTTTTATTTTCAGTATGATTTTTCAGTTTATTCTATAATGAAACTAAATTATTGCTGATGCTTTGGGTGACAGTTTTTGAACGGAGCATCAATACACTTTTTCTCACTGAAATGGTTCGAGGTCTAATGCTGACGCTGAAATACTTCTTTGAACCAAAAGTTACAGTAAGTGTCTTCTAAAACTGTTTGCTGACCAAAACTGTTGCAGCTTCTAATTAAATGCATGACTTCTTTAATTCAGATCAATTATCCATTTGAGAAGGGCCCCTTGAGCCCTCGTTTCCGTGGTGAACATGCACTCCGACGATATCCAACAGGGGAAGAACGTTGTATTGCCTGCAAACTTTGTGAAGCAGTAAGGCTTTTACTGTTTATCCAACTTTGTGAGAGCATGCATGGCATGCTACCTAATAGCATATGACTTTCTGTTGCTTTCATTAACTGGACTACTACTTAACTTGCCAACTTTTTAAGACTATTTTGTATATATAGCAAATGCCACCTGGATGTATGTGTTACCGACTGTAGCTTGTTGGTTACTGTAGAAACAAAAATGTGCAATTGTTTCTGAATTCGAACACACTGTACAAAGTGTAAGACACAAACCCTTGGTAGTGTGTACAAAAATGTGTCTCATAATTATAGTTGAATCAGGCGTTGGAAAATGTACTTGCTATCACTAAGAGGTAGAAATATGTCAATTTGAGTGTCCCAAATAAAGATTTCAGACCCTTATCCTTGGAGACTATAATAGGTATATTTTTCTATACACAAATAATAACAGTTTTATTTTCTCTGAAATCTTTTCTTTATAACTAGTACAGTCGTACTACTGCAGCATTATCCCTCTAGAGAACAAACAAGTAGAGCTCTAGAGAGTAGGGACAAAAGCACAGGTAATATACAAGGGATTAAGGAGAATTTCTGGATAACAATTCAGTCTCAAAACATAGGTTTTCATCTCAAACTCCCTAAATAATGAAATCCAGTTAGTGCAAGAAAGAACTACTTGATAGGCAAATTATTATAATCTTAAAACTACCAAACAACAGAGCTGAAATCATTAATGCATACCCCAAGTTATAATTATAATTACAACAAATGATCAATCCATTACATATTCTTTCCATGTTTTATTCCCCTTTACACTTTTACTGTTTCTCTCCTTGTCAGTACAATCAACTGCTGTGTTGTTATTATTCTTTCTAAATACTACTTCTTTTATCAGATATGTCCTGCACAAGCAATCACAATTGAGGCTGAAGAGCGAGAAGATGGAAGCCGCCGGACAACTCGGTGAAATTACCTTTCCTGTCTGCCTTTTTTGTCTCCTTCCCCCTTTCCATTCTTGCTCTCTTATGTTTTAAATTTTTCAGGTATGATATTGACATGACCAAATGCATCTATTGTGGATTTTGTCAAGAGGCATGCCCTGTTGATGCCATTGTTGAAGGGCCAAACTTCGAATTTGCCACTGAGACTCATGAGGTTCATTTTCATTTCCTTTGTGTTGAATTATATAAATACAATCTGTTAGTGCATGTTAACAATTGTTTCTTTCTTTGTTATTAATTATATGTTTAAGTACTATCTGTCAGTACTTGCGGTTAATTGTTTCTTTGCTTATTTATTTCTAATTATATGTTTACCTGTTGCAGGAGCTTTTATATGACAAAGAGAAGCTGCTTGAAAATGGGGACCGATGGGAAACTGAAATTGCAGAGAACCTGAGATCTGAAAGCCTTTATCGCTGATTTCCATTTGATCTTTGGCTGTTGTTTTTTCTGTCTAATTGAGCAATGATAAATAAAAGTGATCCGTGAATGTTTTAAAACAGTTGTATGGATATATGGTGGTTACATCAGTTTTTCCTTTTGTCAAATTTTGCATTGCTGGTATGTATACAATAGTGATGATGTTTATCTCCTTGAAATATTGAACAAATGTGGAAATAATTGAAAAATTCAACAAACAAGCCTCTCAGCATGCTAGCAAGTTGTAGGCTTGTAGTGTTAATTGATCCTTAGAAGATGGAAGTATTGATGTGGTGTAGCTTACAGACTATAAAGTGTTGAAGATTTGATGATTGCGAGCATGTATGAATTCTTGTGCAATAGGCAAAACTTTTCTTATTAGATCATTTTACACAGGTCCTCCAATTTTAGACCTTTCCGAAGGTGTTGAAGATAGAAATATGGCGGCGGGAATAATTTTCATATATTCTCATGATACTGTGTACAAAATATATATATATCTTTGAAGAAACAGAAATAAGGTTACAAATGAGAAAGTTAAGGAAGAGATAAGTTACACATAATGGAATCTGTTGCTGATGATAAGGTTGTTAAGGATTTGAACCACTTGAGTTATTATCCTTTGCTGCCAGTATCTCTGACTATTACTTCTGTTTTCTTAACCGATCAATGCGTCTTATGGGTCAGGGCCTGATGGCTTTGTACTTTAACCTTTGTGGAAAGGAAATAACAAACCATAGATCAACAACAGAAATGAAATAATAGGCTGAACGGAAAGAAACGGTAACTCGCGACCTTACCAAATGAAGAAATTCATATCATATGCACGTTCCTTTCCCTCGTTGCATCTCTCTAAACTACTTTGAGAAACGATCCATAATTTTAACAATAGCATTCATATTATTTAGTTCTCTTCAACTAACTGCTTAAGAGTTGAATTAAAATTCCATCTCTCTAAATAGTACTATCTAAAAATGTCAACTTTAAATATTTTACTATATTAAAATGTTTCTCAATTTCATAATACTAAAACTTTAGTTCTTGCAATAACACATTGAGGAATAAAAAACAAACTTGTATAAACAAAACATTATGAAATATTAAAATTAATGAGATAAATATATATTTTTTTCATCAATAAAAGTATTATCTCTTACTTATTTATGATTTGATGCGAAATTAAATTAAATCAATTTATCTGTATAATTTGAGTACTAATTATTGAACACAGATATTTTTATAAAAAAATAAATTAAATGGGAGTGCTTTTAGGAGTATTTTCAAACACAAGTGTTTTTAGGGATTAATTATTATTATTTTTGGACAAGTAATTTAGTTCTTCTTATAACATTTGTATCACCATATATACATCATTATATATATTGACTCATTGGACGCACAGAAAACCGACTTTTGGACATGTTTTTTTTTTTTATTTGGCCTAGAATTTTATTAAGATTGTTTATTACTAAAGATTCCTTGTATTTTTAACGAAAGAAAGATTTGAACTGTGTAGGTTGAATTCCAAACAAAAATTATCACGAATGGAGAATTCTTAAACTAATGCCAAATTAAACAATTGAGTTACTCGTGAGTTGGGATAAAAATAAGTTAAGATAAACTTTTCATAAATAAACATAACCTATTTAATAATTTTAAAATTTAAGTTTTGTCTATTATTTGTTGTAAACTTTTTATTAAATCTAATCTAATCTTTTTAAAAGTCTACTTAATCTATTAACCTTTCTAACAACTTACTTCGTATTAAAATTTTTTATAAATAATTTACTTAACTATTTAAGTATATATGTCTTTATAAAGGTCATATAACTTATATATAAATAAACTATAAAAAATAGTTCTAACATCTTGAATATATATAATAAAATTACATAATTAAGATAATATAAATACAAATTAATGTACAAAATAGATCAAATAAGACTCTAATAAATATGACTCTCTTTCACATAAGTATGCAATAGGAACACTCTACAACTTTGATAAAGAAAAATTAGAGTTTATAATTTAAGATTTTATTTATTTTAAAATTTAATTTATTTAATATTATTATATTATTATAAATTTTAAATAGATCATTCTAATAAGTCTAATAGACTTTTTTTTTTTTTAAAGTTCGACTATAACTTATTTAATTAATTAAATTTCTTAAAAGACTTAAATTAGGTTTATTATTTTAATAGGTTAAGTCAAGTTAAACTTTAAAGAAATTAAGCTGTAAATTTTGTCGTCGGAGCTGTGATAGGTTGAAATCACTCCATTACTGCGTTACGAAATTGATCCCATCCGGGGTTAGGGTTACACCCTTCCCACCAATGGAACCAACTAAGAGCGTCATTTTCTAATGCCAAAACCACCACATTCATGCGATCTGCTGCACCCACTTCTTAAATTCGAAAATACCTTTCTATTTTTTGGATCCACCCGTACACGTCCTCACCCACAAATAGAGGAACGTCAATTGTGCGCCAATTTGCTCGTTCGTGAGAGTTAAATAACATATGCCTTCTTGAGGATTGTAATTATTTACCAATTAATTATTGTAAGATGAATAATTTTGAATCTCATTAAGATATAAATTGTGATAAAATGTTTGACATTTAAACAAATTAATAGTTGAAGTGCTTGAGCCTGAACCTAGCGCAATTCTTTCTATCTGTAATCATAGTTATACATATACTGCAGTTGATTGAAACATAAAAACTAAACGTAAGTTTGCATTATATATATCCATAGTGTTTCCATGGATGACACGGACATTGGAGGAAGTAGCTTCCCAAGTGCATCGAAGGGTAAGCTAGACTCTTTTCACTACCCTATCTACACTTAATATGTGCGTGCACCCATATGCATCATACTGAATGAAAAAATATTACAAGAGAAACATAATCCACCTTTAAGTTATATTTAGGAGATATTTAAAAAATTTTGAGATGAGTATATGATAATAGCTTATGACTCATGCAAACTTTTTACTATAATTTATTAAAATATTCTTTTAACTTATTATAATAAAATTTTAAAAATATGACTTGATTAAGTGGTCATTCAATTTTTTTTTTATCACATCAGGGTTATGTCTACATTTATTAACATTTTTTTGGAATTATAAGATAAAAATATATCATTAAAATTATTTATATTGAGAAATTTTTAAAATAAATTAAAAAATTACAAGTTATTTTTATAATCACAAACTCTTTCAAATACATGACAACATTTTCTAAGAAATTACCAATGAAGAGCACAAACCATTTTGAGTAGTGACCACAAAATTGGGGACAGAATGAGTTCAACTTGAAGAGTTTTGCTGGCTTGATAGCTTCAGCCCTTTCTTGTTGGACTAATGTACCTTTGACCAGATGGCAAATTTATGATACTACTCTAGTTTAGAAATTATTTTTTAAGATCGATGTACTTTATAATTTTATATTCAACCTAACTTTATAATAAAAATATTTAAAAATTCACAAATTCTCACTTCTATGCCCGACTTTTATTTTATTTTATTTATAAAATAAAAGTCAAACATTTAAAATACTACTTTGATTTTGACTTTCAATTATCTTTTATAAAATAAAAAATCGTACGGGAGAAATATGACTTTATATATTTATGTTTTAATAACATATAAAGTCGTAAAAGTGAAGTACGGCTTCTTATTTATAATTTTACAAAATAAAATATTTAATATTCAACTTTCATTTGTTAAAAAATAGTCTTATTAATATTTTAAAAAATAAAATAATTGAATAGACCAATTACAAATAAGTTATTTATTGTGTGAAACAATTTGTATGTTGAATAATATGTAGTATGTGTATTAAAAATAAAAGTGTCATTTTTAATTAATTAATTATATTATTATATTTAATTATTAAACAGGTAGTCTTTATTTTTAAAATAATACCAAAAAATATTAAATTGAGTATTTAAAAACCTAATTTGTATATTAAAATTGTTAAATAAAAAGATTATATTATAAAATTAATCGTAGAAGAAAAAAGAATTTAATATATCTTAAATATTTTAAGATAAAAAATATCGGGTTAAATTATCATATAACCATTTACATTTTCATCAAATACTAAATAACATACTTTTGAATTCTCTTAAAAGCTACATTAATGTTTGGGATAAACTTGTAAACATGTTTATATATAAAAACAATAATCTAAAAAAATAAAGAATAATTTTTTTCATAAGTTAAAAATAATTTATTTTTTAAAACTTTATTAATTTCCAAATTGTAATGATAAAGATGATTGTAAGTGTGACATAAAAAGAATATTATTCAAGTAAATAAAAAAATTATTATCTATATATATATATATATATATATATATTAAGTAAGCATTAAATAAAAATGACATAGATTTATTATTTTAAAATATGAAAAAACTTGTATAAATTTTCTTTAAATGATTAAAAAATAAATATAAAAGCAAAATAATTATACGAGTTAACAACATTATGGTACGTCCTAAAGAATAAAAGTGGGGAAAACACTAAACTGGGTTGGAAGTGTACTTAGATGGGGAAAATGGGAGCTTGTAATTGTAATGTTTGGCAATGATAGTGTGTGTTGAAAAGTAGTTGTCGAGTTTTTCAATAGTGGCTTTGCTTTCACACTTGAATTCGTAATCATTAATGAGTGAAGAATGGAAACAACATGGCATAAATGGTGGGTGGGACCTCAACACATTCATGGCGTTCATCTTCTAAAGTTTTCCCACTAACACTCGGAATGGGAATTGGGTTAAATGCACAGAGAGAGAGAGAGAGACAGACATCATCTAAAAACTGTGATTTCTTCTGTAGCTGTTGAGAATTCACAGATATTCTTCCCACATATAACAAAAAAAAACACTCTTTCTTTATTGATGTTTTAACTCAACAAATAAATATTTTTATTTCACATCATCTTTATGGACTGCATTTTCCTTCGTCTTTAATCATAACATTCTCCATTATTACAAAACTAATTTATTTGATAATTCCTTTATTTAAAAATTCCCTAATAATTAATTCATCACTTTAAAAATCCCCTCAATTGTAAGAGATATAGAAGATTTTACTACTTGATTAAATGTTTAAAAACTTAAATTGTAAAATTCTTCTAACTAGTAATTTTTTTTATACATGAATATCATTAAATTAAACTATTTTAAAACATATTATATGATTGTTTTAAAATTTATAATTTTTTTAAAAGCAAATATTATAATTATTACTAATAAATATTTGATTATATTAAATAAATTATAAACTAATAAATATATAATGTAGAAAAAATTACTTGACTTGATAAAAAAATTAATCTCTTAAAATATACTGATTTAAGAATATTTTT